CCTCCGTGAGCTCTTCGCCGCTGTCCACCTTTCTGAGCACAGAGCCTTTCAATGTTCTTCTCTGGAGAGCCTCCTGCGTGCGACGCTCTCCCCTAGGGCGCTGGCCGCGGCTCCTCTTCTTGGCCACATAGCTGGCCGCCCCTGGCCGCACCACGGCCTGCGAGGGGAACTGTTCCAAGATCCGCCTCTGCACCGCGAGGTTCCTCGAAGCTTGTCCGAAGCCCGGGCCTAAAGCCGAGAACTCCTTGGGCTCCTCCCGCGGCGCTGGCGGCCGAGGCCGCCCCGCAAGGGGTACAGGCGGCAGCGGCGGCGGCGGCGGTGGTGGCAACCTCGGCCGCGGGGCTGACCGCGACCAAGGTGGCGGAGTAGGCGCCCGCTGCTGGCGCCAAGGTGGCGTCCGCGGGTCCGACCGCGAACTCGTTGCCGTGGATCGCAGAGCTGAGCTCTCAGAGCTCCGCTGCCATGATGAAGAAAAATCCCTTTTTCCTCGAGGCTGAGGCGGCTATTGCGCAAAGCAAAGAGTGCGAGTAAGAGAAAGAAGATACAATACAGAAGAATCGAGAGCATGATGGGGAGTAACTTCAACACCTAGTCGGGTCGGACGGAAGGGGGGGAACGCAGGGGTGGGTTAAAGAATTCGATCGCGCAACTGGTCTCCACGGCGCGTCCCGCCGGCGCCGGAAGCACCAGCGTATCGAGGAAAGCGGTCGACGGCGGGGCTGAAACCAGCTGTATGCAACAAGTAAAGGTATAAACTTCAGCCGCCCGGGGGGCAGGCGTCCACGACGGCGGAAGTAATGATGTTATACCGTTCTTCGCCCGCATGTCTTACTCCCGCCGGCTTCCGCCGACCTTCCGCCGGCTTCCGCCAGCGGGACCGCCCTTGCTTTACTTCCGCTGCTTTCCGCCGAGGAAGAGATGCCAACTCCCGCGATCCTGGAAGGCGAGGGCCTTGCTGGCACGCCTCATCGAATCAAACATCAGCGGGAGCCTGCGAACCCATGCGACAACATTGGAGGAATAACAAAAACACATAAGCATAAACTTTTGGCGCTCCGCGCGGATTTCTTCGATTCGCGCTGGACCCCCCCCCTCCTGGCGCGCGGAGCGCGTCAGGGGCGGCGCCGGAGGCACCGCTGGGGAGCTCAGGCGCGGATCCAAGAAATCCGCGCGGAACGCCAAAAGTTTATGTTAATGTGGCTTTTCTTCTTCTAAACTCAGGTCGGGCATGTCCCCCTACAGGCCGATTTTGGACGAAAATGAAAAATATTCAAGACATAATCAAAACATAATCAAAAATACTGCACAAATCGTTCCCAGACTAGTTCTTGACTATTTTTGAACATTACTCTTGTGGAGAGACGCGCCTGATTTGATTCTAAACATGCTTTTGGAGGCGCCAGATGTCCAGAGAGGCGACACGACGGTGTGCGAGCAGGGGCGCGGCGCTGAGGCGCCGGCCAGCGGCACGGCGGCCCGCTGGATCGCCGTGGGGGCCTGCCCTCCCTGGATGGAGCAGGGACCGACCGTCCCTGCGTTCCTATTCCCATGGGTCCTCCTCCTCCTCCTCCTCCTCCTCCTCCTCCTCCTCCTTCTGCTCCTTCGGCTCCTCCTCCTCTCCTCCTGCTCCTGCTCCTCCTCCTCCTCCTCCTTCTCCAGGAATGTTCTCAGAACCGAGACAGATTCTCACAACAAGAACCATGATCTCAGAACAGAAGCGCGAAGGATCAAACACGAGACGGTCCCAGCCAGAAATATTATGAGAGCACTTTCTGTGCAAGCCACACGAGGTTCTCAGAACATGCTCTCGTGGGCCTACCAGCAGACCAGGACGCTTCGCCGCTGCTTGACCGGAGGCCCCTTCCTCCGGGCGACCGCGAGGCGCGCCCCGTCAACCGCCCCTGCCAGCCATGGCAGGGCGAGCCGTGGTCCTTTTGCCCCCCTGGGGGGGCCCATCGCATCGGCGATCTCTCGAGAGGGGCGTCGAAGCCGAGGGGCCTCCCGGGGAGTAAGACCCACAGCTGCCCCAGCGATGGCTGGTCTGGCCTCCGCCTTCTGCTCCCATCAACGCTACCGCGGCAAACTGATCACAGAGAATCGGCAGCGGACTCGGATGGGGTCGGCATCTCGCGGGTCGGATCGGTATCTCATGCATTCGAACAACCCGAACTGGGAAACATCGGATCGGCTCCAAACATGCCGGATCGGAACACATCCGATTGGTAGAGATGATCAAATCGGTGACGCTGCAGATTCGACTTCGCCCGCTTCGATCCAGGAAAATCGAATAGAAACGTCCCAGGCAAGCCAAGGCGGCCAGATCTTTCCGCCCCCTCGAGATCGGGCAGCTTGCGGTCTCAGACCCCCCTGTGGCATTTAGAAACGTCTCGAGAGATAAACTCGGGGCGGCGGACGCGACGGGGGGTATAGCACAAGGGGGGTTAGGCCTTCAGCTCGCCTAGCTGGCCTTCCTGGCGCCTCCTGGTGCTGGGGGGCACTCACGCATCGAGGAATGCGCGTGGCGACGGAGCCGAAATCAGCTACACGCAACAAGTTTGATGCCCCCCCACTTTCCCTACCTCCCGTCGGCCCCAGCATGCGTCCCGACAAAGTCGAGCCCACTGGCGTCGGGCCCCTGGAGTGCACCAGTGCACCCCCGCTGCGGGTGTTGGGGGGGAGGGTCCGTCGTTGGTGGAGAAGCTGTGCGCAGACGTCTGAAGCTCGTGCTTGTGCGCTTTTCTGCCATCCAGTCCTCGTCGTGGAAGACTCCTCCTCCTCCTCCTCCTCCTCCTCCTCCTCCGACGTTGCTCAGACATCTTGCGGTAAGAAATCAACGGGCGCAATCCTCATCTATATTCGTCTTCGCTGGGTGCCCCACGAGCACCCCCAAACCATTGGGGGGCTGGCGGGCTGGCTTCTCGTTTCATGTGATTACTGTAGGGCCCCGCGGATCTTGCCCACACTCCCCAAAACCAACTCTTTATCCCGAAAAATTTGTTGACAGTCCCGGGTCCAGGAAACGGCCTGCAGAACCAGAAAGCGACGAAACACTTTCTGGCTTGCGGCACTGGGATCAATGGCAGCGCGGTCGAAGCGGCTACAGGGCCGTGAAGGAAATCCGAATTGCGCACAAGAAGAGGCTTGGAAGAAGAAATGTATTGGGCCACGGAGGGGAGAGGAACGGGGGCACACTCAGAACATGCAGTCCTTCGTCTGCACTGCTGAGGCCTGAACCGACGGAACACAGGCCGTCGCGGCTTTCTGACTTTCTCTTGCGACGCCCAGATCAGCGGGCCCTCCTCCTCCTCCTCCTCCTCCTTCTCCTCCACCCTCCACCTTTCCCCTCCCCCTCCTCCTCGTCCTTTTCCTCCTCCTCCTCCTCCTCCATTCCTTTTCCTTATAAACAACTTCTCCCTGTCGCACTCCGAAGCCAATTTTTAGGGCGGGCCGGGCGTTTCGCCTGAGCTTTCCTCACAATTTATGACTCTGAAGCTTAAACATTGGCAACCGTTTCACAGATGGAGGGCGGCACGTTTTCAAAATGTGGCTCTCGCCTTAGCGCGGCGCACATTCCTTTTCAACATTTGCCAGAATTTCACGGGTTGAGGGCGGGTCGTTTTCAATCTGTGGCTCTCGCCTTAGTGCGGCGCGCACTCGTTATAACAAAATGCGAAAGCTTCACGGATTGAGGGCGGGTCGTTTTCATAATGTGGCTCTCGCCTTTAGCGCGGCGCACATTCCTTTTTTAAACTTGCAAGAGCTTCACGGATTGAGGGCGGTTCTTTTATGTGGCTCTCGCCTTAGCGCGGAGGACATTCGTTGTGAAACATGCAAAAGTTCCACGGGTTCCCATCACCAGCGTATCAGACATGGTGTTTTGAAAGGATTCAGGATTATGCGGGTGCAACAGTTATGTTGATTCGCTGTGTTGAAGTCCCAGGAACGGTGTTCTGGCACGATTGAGGTTTGTCAACACGTAACAGTCAGGCTGATGCGTGGCGTTGAAATCCCGAGAACAATGGTTTGGCATGCTTCCGGGTCTTCAAACGGTGGCCTTCCAAAGAGGCAGTTCCTTCAATGGAAATGAACTGTTGTAGGGGCCTATGAAGAGGGAGCTTGGAGGGAGGATTCATTCCAACATCGTTGATGACTCTTGGGTTTACACTGGTTCTGCTCCTCCTCCTCCTCTTCCACACTGGGGTGTCGACTGCACCAGCGACACCTTTTGTGTGTATAGGGCGGTGGCGGGAGCAAGCCCTTTTCGGAGCAGCGGCAGCCGACGTCTCCGGCGCCTGCCTTTCCAGCCCCACCCCGTGCAGAAGTGCGAGATCCCAAGCAGACTCCCTCCCCAGATCAGGGGGCGCCCATTGACCACCTGGCCAGGCCCATCCTAGGCCTAAAAACCCAGTATGCGGGCGCTGGCTCTGCCCTGGCTGGGCCCTGGCCAAGAAGGCCCGCGCGCCGATCCCGGGCCCAGGATCCGTGAGGTGGTCCGCCGAGGTCCCCCCAGACCCCCTGGCGCCGCTGTGAGGTCGTGGCAGTCAGCTCTTCCCTTGGTCCTGGGCATCGGGGGACCCGTCCTGGGCCCCCAAAGCGTCGAAAGACAACACACGTTGCCAGGGAATATGAAGAGCACATCCCTGAGACGGGGCCGAGAGGGCCCACGTCATAGAAAGTGTTGTTTCGTCTGATGTCAGTCCCTTTTGGTCGGGTTACGCTGCGTCGTGGTGGCCTGCTCCCGATAGGCTACACAGATCCCCGAACTCGTGATTTCGCAACGTGAACCCCCAGAGTTCTAAACATACTCGCTAAGACAAATTTTTCAACCCGAATCGTTTTGACGGTCCGCGGGCCTGGAGGCAGAAAAATGCCCCAAGCTGTCTGAAGCGACTTTTCCACGACGCGCGTCACCAACCTCATCGAGAAGCTCGTAGAAGTCTGGGTAGACCAGGCCCTTGCATTTACCGCCTGTACACGCAGCTAGCGACAATCGACGCCCCCACGGCTGGAGAGCGACGCAACAAAAAACGAAAGCCGATCCGGGAGGGAGCTCTCCCCGATTCGGTGAAACCACGCCTCCTGAGTCTCGGACTCGCGGGCTACAACAGGAACAACTGGGGGGCGGGGAGGGCGAGCAGGAGGAACACGAGGAAGAAGGCAGAGGCGGAGGAACCGGAGCAAGCCTAAGATGCAATACACCCTCCCGTCCCAAGTCCGTGCAAGCTTTTCGTTTTACTACACGAAGCGCCCCCCTGAAAAACCAGCACCCGGCGACGAACAAGGATGGCGATAAGGTATTATCACACAGTTCAACTAAGTGTCCAGCGGCATCACCGTTTTTAAGAAGGACCGTCCCCACCGGTGTAACTCTTGCACAAGTGTGCACTTCTGGCCATGACCTTCGAGGAAATCTCAAGCGAGAACCCAATTTCGAATTAGACTGGCGAAAAACCCAACCGTTTGCAAGTTTTAGTCCCGCGTTGTGTGTACCGCTTTCGGTGGAGCTCCTTATGGAACCACGAAAGGCGTGAATGGGGTGTGCTGTAATGGATGGGGGAGACGCATGCGGCCGCGGCCCCTGGGGTCTTCGATGGAGCCCCCGATGGGGCCAAGAAGCGCTGCACTGGGCGAGGGGGGCCGCATGCGGCTGTGGCCACTGGTGCCTTCGGTGGAACCTCCCATGTGGCCACGAAGCGCTGAACCGGGTAGGGGAGACGCATGCAGACTGTGGCCATTGAGGTCTTCGGAGGAGCTCCCTTTGCGCCCACGAAGCGCTGTACTGGGTGGGGGAGATGCATACGGACTGTGGTCATTGAACCCTTCGGTGGAACTCACTGTGGGGCCATGAAGCGCTGTACTGGGAGACGCATGCGGCCGCGGCCACAGTGGGCTTCTGTGGAGCCACGAAGCGCTCGCTGTACTGGGTGGGGGAGTCACATGCGGGCAGTGGCCATTGAAGCCTTCGGTGGAGCTCCCTATAAGGCCCTGAGCCGTGTCAAGGGTGTGCCGTGATGAGTGGAGGAGACGCATGCGGACTGCGCGGTGGAGCTCCATATGGGGCCACGACCTGTGCGATGGGTGTGCGGTCATGGGTGGGGGAGGCGCATGCGGACTGCGCCACTGGGACCTTCGGTGGAACTTCCCCCATATGGACCCACGAACCGTGAGAAGGGTGTGCCGTAATGTGCGAGGGAAACGCATGCGGACTACGCCACGAAGGCCTTCGGTGGAACTCCCGGGAAAAGCGGAATGAGTCAGGGAAAGAACGCAGGGCCACGAACCCTGAAAAGGGATGTGCCGAAATGAACAGGGAAAGCGCATGCGGACTGCGTCTCTAGGGCATTCGGTGGAGCTCCCCATGGGGCTACGAACCGTGTGAAGGGTGTGCCGTAATGGGTGGGGGAGACGCACGCGGGCTGCGCCAATGGGGCCTTCAGTGGAGCTCCCCCCATGTGGAACCACGAACCGTGAGAGGGGTATGCTGTGATGGATGGGGGGGGACGCATGCGGACTGCGTCACTGGGGCCTTCGGTGAAGCTCCCTATGGGAACACGAAACGTGTGAGTGGTGTACCGAAATGGACATGCGGAGGGCAGAGGACAGGAGGGGAAGACGGAGGAGGGATGGGAGGAGGGGGGAGGAGGAATGAGTTAGGGAGGTAACGCGTGCCGCTGAGCATACAACACGAGGACCAGATATCACAAGATAGTTGGGGAAAAAGGGACCGTCCTGACTCACTTTAACTGCCGCAGCATTCACGACACGCAGGTGCACAGCGCTAAGACAAGCGCCCCACCTTGGCCCCCTCCACGCGTGAGACTGCTGCGACTTGTTTGACGAATGTGCCTGCCGCTACAACCATTTGTCCACAACCCTCCGCGGTTGAGTTCTCGTTTTGAGTCGACCACTGTGGTCGCGTCTCCATCCTTCCTTCCGCTTCCCTCCTTCTTATCCCTCCCTCCCTGCCTCTTTTTATCTTTATGTATGTCGCTTTCTCTCTCTCTCTCTCTCTTTGTTCTCTCTCTCTCTCTCTCTTTCTCTCTGGTCTTGTCTCGTACCTCTTTCGTACCTGCCTCCGAGCTCGCAATCCATGGGGGCTGCGATCTGCGAAATTGTCGCCACTTTCGAGGGCTGCTGGGGGCCCAGCACAGTGTCGCCATTCCCAGGCTCGGTTTCGACCCCGCCATCCCTGGCGGCTGCGATCTGCGGAACTGCCGCCGCGTTCGAGGGCTGCTGGGGGGGGGGGGGGGCAGCACAGTGTCGCTATACCCAGACTCATGTTCGACTGGGGGGCTGCGATCTGCGAAACGGTCGCCACTTCCGAAGGCTGCTAGGGGGGGTCAGCAAATTGTCGCCATGCCCAGGGTAAGATTCGACCTCGCCATCCCTGGGGGGCTGCGATATGCGAGGCCGCTGCCACGTTCGAAAGCTGCTTGGGGGGGGGGGCGCAGTGTCGCCGTGCCCAAACTCATATTAAACCTCGCCATCCCTGGGGGGCCTGCGTCTGCGAGTCCGTCGCCACTTTCGGGGGCTGCCCGGGGGGCCAGCACAGCGTCGCCATACCCAGACCCATACTAAACCTCGCCATCCCTGGGGGGGGGGCTTCGATCTGCGAAACCGTCGCCATTTTCGGGGGCTGGTGGGGGGGCACAGCGTAGCCATACCCAGACCCATGTTAAGCCTCGCCATCCCTGGTGGCTGCGATCTGCGAGCATGTCGCCACTGTCGAGGGCTGCTGGGGGGCCAACACAATGACGCCATACGCGGACTCAGATTGGACCTCGTCGTTCCTGGAGGGCTGCGATCTGCGAAATCGCCGCCACTTTCGTCTGCTGGTGGGGTGCCAACATACTGACGCCATACGCGGAATCATTTTCGACCCCGCCATCCCTGGAAGGCTGCGATCTGCGAAACTGTCGCCTGTTTCGAGGGCACCCCTGGGGGGGGGGGGGGCGCATAGTGGGGCCTTACCCAGACTCAGGCTCGACCTCGCCATCCCTGGGGGGCTGCGATCTGTGACAGTGTCAGTGCCGCTGCCGCCACTATAGGGGCCTGCTGGGGGGCCCGCGCAATGGAGGCCCCACTCAGACTCATATCCGACCTCGCCATCCGATGGGGGGGGGAGGCGATCTGCGAAACAGTCTCCACATTCGAAAGCTGCTTGCGAAATTGCCACCACTTTCGAAAACTGCTAGGTGGGGCAACACAATGACGTCACATGCGGACCCGGGTTAAACCTCGCTGTCCCTGGGGTCTGCGAACGGCAACATGGCCGATACGTTCAAGAACTACTGGGGGGTTCATCACAGTGTGGTCTTGAATCTTGCGCAGTTCTAAATCATCCCAGTGCGACCCTATCTAGGAGTTGGAGCAGTTAGGAAAGCAACATCTACATCTACACCGACAGCTACAGTTACATCTACACCTAAACTAAACTAAGCTAAGCTAAGTTAAGCCAAGCTAAGCTAGGTTAAGCTAAGCTCAGCTAAGCTAAGCCAAGATGAGATAAGCTAAGCTAAGCTAAGCTAAGCCTAACTAAGTTAAGCTAAGCCAAGCAAAGCTAAGCTAGGCTAGGCAAGGCTAAGCTAAGCTAAGCTAAACTAAGCTAAGTTTAAGCTAAGCTAAGCTAATATAAGCCCAGCCCAGCCCAGCCCAGCCCAGCCCAGCCAAGCTAAGCTAAGCTAAGCTAAACCAAGCTAAGCTAAGCTAAGCTAAGCTAGGCAAAGCTAAGCTAAGCTAAGATGAGATAAGCTAAGCTAAGCTAAGCTAAGCTAAGCTGGGTGAACCCAGGGGGCGCAACTGGGGGAACCGCGGGGCGGATGCCGGGGGAACCGCCTGGGGCGTTCTACACTGCCCGGCCCTTGAAGCACATAGAGTAAGAACCCTTCTAGGCAGAGCCTAGGTAGGGAACTAAACATCGCCATCCTTGGAGAGCTGCGATGTGCGAAACCGTCGCCACTTTCGAAAGCTACTAGGGGATCCAACGGGGGGACGTCTTACCCACACCCACTTTAGACCTCACCATCCCTGTGGGGCCGGATCTGCGACGCTGCCGCCAATTTTTGGGGCAGCTGGGGGGTCCAGCGTACTGGCGTCCTACACAGGCTCATATCAAACCTCACCATCCTTGCGGGGTGGCGGTCTGCGAAACGGTCACCAGTTTCGACGCCTGCTGGGGGTCCAGCACAATGACATCCTACGCAAACTCATATTCGACCTCACCATCCTTTTGGGGCTGCGATCCGCGAAACTATCGCCGCTTTCGGAGGCTGCTGTGGGGGCAACACAGTGCACCATGCGCGGACTCATGTTCGACCATCGTATCACTCGGGGGGTGCGATCTGCGAAAAGGTCGCCGCTTTCGAAGGCTGCTTGGGTGGGCAACACAGTGACGCCATACGCGGACTCGTATTCGACCTCACCATCCCTGTGGGTCTACGTTCTGCGAAACTGTCGCCATTTTCGAACATCGCCTTCAGCTGCCCCTCTGAATGTTCGGCATTCCATGTGCCGTGCCCCCCTAGATGCTGCCCTTTTTCACGTCGAGCGTGGGGCATCAGTACCTCCACCGCGCCTTTGCTTATCGATCGGTGTCCTGCAAGTCGCGCAGCTCGCGAGCCTCCAACGAAACGTTTGCACAACATGGATCCTTGGGGTCCGCCGCCTTTGACATTCTTTAAACAATCCTTTGAAGAGGCATCAGGCCGCCCCGAGAAGCGCCGTCGCGAAACGTCGGGCGATGCGGGGGAAGAAAACCTCGGCGGAACCGCGACCACACCCGCACCAAACCTCCGCGATGCGCCAGAGCACGCCATATCAAACCCATACGACTTTCAGGGCAACCTATATCAAACCAAACCTCTCTCCTCCTCCTTCACGTCATCCAATGTCCGAGGCTCCACTCCGACGAGCGGTGCCCGTGTCCTCCTGGCAAACGCGCGCGGCGGGGTTGCCCGCGGGCAGAAAGAGGGCTGCAGAGATTCCCCCCTGCACACGTTGTTGTTCGGCGCTTGGGCCCTTCTCAAGATCTGTTTTTGGAGAAACTCTGAAACAAATCCGGCATCGCTTGTCTCCGCTAAGCTTTCAAGAGGCCCTTGCGGTCCGGTGCGTCTAATTAGGGTATTTCCTTTGTTGGTGCGCTGAATTTTAACGTGCCTCCAGGTCTGTTCGGCCCTGGTCAAGCCCCTCGCGCAAGGAGTCTAAGGCAAATGCCGGGCCCAGCCTCTCCGCGATCAGTACAACGGAACATGCGAATTCCAGCTGGAGGGGCCGCGGCGCTCAGCGGCCAGGCGACCGAGGCGCACTCTCGCTGCAACAGCGAGGTAGAGGCGGCTTCGGCTGACATGCGAGCGCGGCGTTGCAATCTCTTGAGGCGCTGGGCGAACAACGCCAGGGCGCTCATCTGGCGCGCGAAGGTATTGGGCGCCGCTGGCGCAACACGCGACGCATAGAACCATCCAGTTTTGCGCTGGCGGCGCTGGCGCAACGCCCACGAGCTCTTATCAAGGAGAAACCAAGGCCGAACGGGAGTAGAGTAGGTGTCTTGGATTCTCGACAGAACGCGCTCCAGGGCAAGGAACAAAGTCGGGAAGGCCATCTGATTACTCCGCCTCCATGTCCTCCCAAGCCCCCGTGCGCCGAGAACAAATCATCCGGGAGAAAGACCCAACCATATGCAGTTATGAATGCAGCGCGGTGGGTACCGCGTTCAGTGGAGCTCCCTCTGGGGCCACGCAACGCGTGAGGGGTGTGCCGTAATGCGTGGAGACGATGCATGCGACCGCGGTCACTGGGGCCTTCGGTGGAGCCCCTTATGGGGCTACGAAGCGTTGTACTGGGTGGGGGAGAAACGCATGCGGCCGCGGCCACTGGGGCCTTCACGGGGCCACGAAGTGCTGTACTTGGAGGGGGAGACGCTTGCGGCCGCGGCCACTGGGGCGTTCGGTGGAGCTTTCGATGGGGCCGCGAAGCGTTGCACTGGGTGGCGAGGACGCAGTCGGACTGTGGACGTTGAGGCCTGCGGTGGCTCTCCCTATGGGGCCACGAGGCGCTCTACTGTGTGGGGGGGGGACGCATGCGGACGCGGCCACTGGGGCCCTCTGTGGAGCTCCCTATGGGGCTACGAAGCGCTCTGTTGGGTGGGGGTCGGGACGCATGCGGACTCCGCCATTGAGGTCCTCCGTTGAGCTCCCTATGGGATCACGAAGCGCTGTGCCGGGTGGGTTGGGGGACGCTTGTGAACTTTGCCAGGGGCTTCGGTGGAGCTCCCTATTGGGCCACGAAGCACTGTACTGGGTGAGGGGAGAAACGTGTGAGCTTTGCGACTGGAGCCTTCGGTGGAGCTCCCTGTGGGGCCACGAAACGCTGTACTGGGTGGGAGGGACGCATGTGAGCTTTGTCACTGGGGCCTTGTGTGTGGCTCCCTGTGGGGCCACGAGGCGCTGTATTGGGTGGGGGGACGTATGTGATCCTTGACATTGTGGCCGCGGCCACTGGGGCCTTCCGTGTAGCTCCCTACGGGGTCACGAAGCGCTGTACTTGGTGGAGGAGACGCGTGCGGACTGTGGCCATTGAGGTCTTCGGTGGAGCTCCATATGGGGCCACGAAGCGCTGTACTGATTGGGGAAGATGCATGCGGACTGCGCCTCTGGGGCCCTCGGTGGAGCCCCCTGATGGGGCCACGAAGCGCTGCACTGGGTGGGGAAGACGCACGCGGACTGCGCCACTGGGGCCTTCGGTGGAGCTCCCGATGGGGCCACGAACTGTGAAAAGGGATGTGCCGAAATGGGCAAGGACGGCGCACGCGGACCGCGCCTCTAAAGCCTTCGGTGGAGCTCCTGTTATGGGGTCGCGAACCGTGCGAGGGGTGTGCCGTAATGGGCGGGGGAGACGCGTGCAAACTGTGCCACTGGGGCCTTCGGTGGACTTCCTCCCTATGGGACCACGAACCGTGAGAGGGGTGCGCCGTACTGGGTGGGGGAGACGCATGCGGACTGCACCACCTGGGCCTACGGTGAAGCTCCCGTGGGAGGCGGAATGAGTCAGGGAAGAAACGCGGGGCGTTGCGTATTCAAAACGAGGACCCAACGCCACAGGACGGTTGAACAAAAAGGAGACGTCCTCCATCCCTGTAACAACTGTTTGAAAATGACCACCTCCATCCTTGTTGGTGATGCGAGTTTCAAGCTTCAAGATCATCCTTGGAGAAGACGTCTCAGGCGAAGCGCTGGGCTTGATGGGGGGGGAAGCATGGCATCACGATAAGTGGGGCCTTCGGTGGAGCTCCCTATGGGGCCACGAAGCGCTGAACTGACGCATGCGAACTTTGTCATTTGCCACTGGGGCGTTCGGAGGGGGCTCCTTATGGGGCCGCGGAGCGTGGGGGGGCGAACGCATGTGAATTTTGCTACTTCGGCCTTCGGTGGAACTCCCTGTGGGGCCACGAAGCGCTGTACTGGGTGGGGAGGGCGCACGCGAAGTTTGCCACTGGGGCCGTCAGTGGAGCTCCCTATGGGGCCAAGAAGCGGTGTACTGGGTGGCAGGACGCATGCGAACTCTACAACTGGGGCCTTCGGTGAAGCTCCCTGTGTGACCACGAAACGTTGAACTCGGTGGGAGGGACGCATGCAAACTTTGGAACTGGGGCTTTCGGTGGAACTCCCTATTGGCCCACGAAGCGCTGTACCGGGTGGGTGGGGGGACGCATGTGAACTTTGCCACTGGGGCCTTCGGTGGAGCTTCCTATGGGCAACGGGACGTTGTACTGGGTGGGGGAGACGCATGCGGACTGCGCCACTGGGGCCTTCATCAGTGGAGCTCCCACGCGAACTTTGCCACTGGGTCCTTCGGTGGAGCTCCCTATGGGGCCACGAAGCGCAGTACTGGGCGGGGGGGACGCATGCGACCTTTGCCATTGTGGCCTTCGGTTAAGCTCCCTATGGTGCGCGCATGCGGACTGTGGCCATTGGGGCCTTCGGTGGAGCTCCCTATGGGGCCATGAAGCGCTGCACTGGGCGGGGGCCGCATGCGGACTGTGGCCGTTGATGCCGTCGGTGGAGCTCCCTGTGGAGCCACGGAGCGCTGCGCTGAGTGGCGAGGACGCATGCGGGCTGTGGCCGTTGAGGCCTTCGGCGGAGCTCCCTGTGGGGTCACGAAGCGCTGCACTGCGTGGGGGGACGCATGCGGACTTTGCCACTGGGGCCTTCGGTGGAGCTCCTTCTGGGACGCGAAACGCTGTACCAGGTGGGGGAGACGCATGCGGACTGCGCCATTGGGTAGTTCGGTGGAGCTCCCTATGGGCCACGAAGTGCTGTACTGGGTGTGGTGTGGTGCAATCTGCGTTGGGCAATCGATGTGCTGCAATATATGGTAAAACCGGCATGGTGTAACCTATATGGTGCAACCTATGTGGGGCAATCTGTGCGGTGCAATACATGTGGTGCAATCCATGTTGTGCAATCTAGGCGGCGATGGGGCGGCGACGGCGGCAACTTAGCCGTCAGAGCGACAGACAGGCCCAGTTCCTGAGAGGAGAAGTAAGAGCCCCCAAGTGCAAGCACTGCCTGGGGAACCTACTCTGTCTTCAACGCCACCCACGACGCAAATTACTTCCGGGCAGACGGGGCCGCTCTTCCTTCCCCCTGTTTCCTCCTCAGCATCACATGCTGTTGTTCCCGACCTAGGCTCTGCCTAGAAAGGTTCTTACTCTCTTTCTTACAGGGGCCGGGCAGTGGAAAGCGCCCCGGGCGGTTCCCCCAGTATCCGCCCCGCGGTTCCCCCAGTTACGTCCCCTTAGCTTACCGTTGCTTATCTCATCTTGGCTTAGCTTATTACATCATAGCTTAGCTTAACTCCATCTTAGCACATGTTTCTCTTAGCTTAGCTTACCGTCATCTTAGCTTCGCTGAGCTTAGCTTAGCTTAGCATAGCGCACCATTCGCATATCGTAGCATAGCATATCATGGCCAATCATAGCATAACATAGCATAGCGCAGCATATCACATCATGCCATATCATAGCATATCATAGCATGGCGCAGTTTAACATACCATATCATAACATAACTTAGCATAGCACAGCGCATCATGACATATCATAGCTTAGTATAGCATAACATAGCATAGCGCAGCATCGCATAGCATATCATAACATAGCATAGCATAGCGCAGCATAGCATGGCATAGCATAACATAGCATAGCAAACAGTGCTGCTTTCCTAGGGGCTTCAACTTCTAGGTAGGGTCGCACTGGGGTAAATTCTTTCTTTATTTGTTTGTAAGTTTGTCTTTCTCTCTCTCTCTCTCTATCTCTATCTCGCTCTCTGTCACTCCTCTTCCCCTACCCGGGCGCGGGGCCGCGCGCGATCGCGCGCGCGCGCGGGCGGCGCGGCGTTCGGCTGGCAGAGGAATTGCGGCAGCGCTGAGTCAATCATCCAGGGAGGGGGAGGGGGGGTGAGAGGGAGCTGTATGGGTGGGCCAGCTCAGGGGGGGAAACTTTGAGCTGGCATCGGCGGTGCATCGCCGACAGGCCCCCGATAGCGAAGCCGCACGTTCCCGGGCCGGGGTGGGACATCGGCCCCCCCGTGAGTGCATCCCCCGTGACGCTGCCCCTGAGAGGAAGAGGAGGATGAAGAGGATGAGGAGGAGACGGATGAGGAGGAGGACCTCCGTTTCCGAAGCGGCCGCGCCCTGGGATCACACGGACGGGGGGGGGGGGCGTGCATGGGCATGGCGGAGAAGCTGCCGCCTCAACAACACCCTCGGCGCCACGAACAACATACGTTTGGGAACCTCGGCACAATGTGCCGCGGCTGCGGCCCCGGCGACCCGCCACGCCTTGCAGGCGGATGGCGTGTCGCCCTCCGCTCCGTGGGGCGAGAAGCTTCGAGAAGCTCGGAGCGTTGTGACGCCTGGGGGCCCAGGACGAGGTTGAGCGCGTCGCGCCGAGGAGTGGTGGGCCAGAGCTGGCGGAGCGACACGCTTTGCCGACGCGCCTGACCGTGGCCGGCGTGGAAGCAGCGGGTCCTGGAGGACACGGGCCTGGCACGTATGTGTTGGCCGTCTTCTTTGACCCAGAGCCTTGCGCAGCCCGCCCAGCCTTTGCCGGAGGAGGTTCGCTCTCGCCCCGCAGACCAAAAAAGTGTGTTGGCCGTCTTCGGGCCCCTGCCAGAAGGAGGAGGAGGAGGAGGAGGAGGAGGAGGAGGAGGAGGAGGAGGAGGAGGAGGAGGAGGAGGGGCCCCGGGGCCGTCAGAGAACGGCTCGGGATGAAGAGTTGGTCCTGGGGAACTCCCCGGGTCTGGGACCCGTCTCCCTCAAGCGGGGGGGCCCGAAGACAAGCAAGCCAATGACCGAAGCCCACTGATGATCACAACCGGGGGATGGTATGGTTCGGGGTTCCGGGGGGATCAACAGTTTCTCGCCCTGGCACTCGCACGTACTGGGGTAGGGACGGGATGTTAGTATGGTAAAGCGGTGCCCTGCTCGCTCTGGCGGGGCCTCCTCGGGAAGGGTCGAAGGAGCACGAAACCAGAGCAACGGCATGGTACAGTGATGCCCTGCTCGCTCCGGCGGGACGTCCCGAAAGGGGTCGGAGAAGCACGACACCTAAGTAATAGCATGGTATAGTGATACCCTGCTACTCAACATGATAGGATGGCAACTTCGATTCGTACTTTCCTTGGCGATCATGTAACTGGGCCTCGCCGCCTCTTTCCCCCGATCAACTCTGCCTTGGCCCAGGATAGTCAACTCTCAGGGGTTAAGGGGGGTATACTTGATTATCTGGATGTTCGTCTTCACCTTCACTTCCCATATTTTCTCAGGAATCGGCGGGTATTTGTGCCAATGTGTTTTTGTCCCCTCCTGATCAAGACCCGTCTTCTTAATGGCCAGGCTGCGGCAAAACTCCCGCGCTGCGAGCAACGATGCCGCGACGGCCGGGCCTCTCCTCCACCTGGGGCTCTAGAGGCCGCTCGTCCGGGTCCTGGCCGTCCAGGAAGCGGCCAAGGAAGGAGACCGAGGCTCAGGGGACGGGGGCACGTCCCCAAAAACGACCCCGGATGATTGAGCAGGGACAGACCGTCCCGGCATTCGAATAGGCCTACCACGAAATTTTCTTAGAACCCAGAAATGTTCCAAAGATCAAAAACAATGTTCTTAGAACATGAACCCGATGTGCTAAAACAAGACCGTCCCAGCCGGAAATGTTATAAGAACATTTCGTGGAAGCCACAGAAGGCTCTTAGAACCGGGTTTGGTAGGCCTATTGACACGCCAGGACGCTTCGCCACTGCTTGAGGAAAGGGTCGAGAGCTCCAGGGGCCGCCGGCTCGAGCAAGCATCGAGTCGTAGGTCGTCGCCCAAAGAATCTCGTCCATGTCGGTTGGAAAGGGTCGGCTCAGCAGCTTCGTGAAAGCCTTCGGGTGGCCCGTGGGCTCCATGAGGCCTCCCAGGACATCGCGCAGTCGCCTACCAAGCTCGGTCAGCTGCACCAGGACGCGGCTCAACACATTCAACTTGTCGTTGTGCAGCCTGGTCCTGGAGAGGGGCTAAGCGTGCGTTTGGATAGTACGCTTGCGCTGTCTCGTGATCTTGCGCGACGCTGGTCTTCTTTTCAGCCACGTGTCTGAACGACTCAGAGGAGTTCCTCCGGCCTTGGGAGGACGACTACGATGAGGCCGTCAAGGCCATCCAGAAGGGGAGGCAGGACTCTTCGGACGAACGGCAGGAGAAAGCGCTGAGGGGAGGGCCGAAGGCCATGCACGGGCTCACCCAACTGAAACGTCGTTGGACCCCTACTGCCACTGAAACTCAACCTGGCTCCTTTTCGGCCAGCCCTCGGGACCTCCTCGAGGCTAAAAGCGAGGCGCTGGCGGAGTTTCGGCAAGCCGGCGTCGCTCCCTCTGCCGCGTGGGTTCCCAACAGGAGTCCTCTTCCGCGGCCGACCGCAGGAGATATCCGCAGGGCCGGCGCCAGCTTCTCGGCGCTCCCTTCGCAGTCGCAGCTACGGCCTGCACCCGCGGCAGCTCCCCATGGGTCTCGGCCGCTGCCCTCGACAGCTCTGGGAGCCCTCGTCGAAGCCATCGGATCCTTGAGATTACTTCCGAAACAGCTGCTTTGGCTTTTGTTTCCGCTCTTGGAAGGCCCAAGGGCGGGCTCCGCCCGATCCTCCTGTGTGCTGGGCCCGTCCGTGTCTGGGAGCGCCCTCGTAGGCCGTGGCTCACTGAGCTTAACAATCGTTCCCCCCGGCGTTGTTGGGCCTTCGGCCCTGGTCGCAACAACCCAGAAGATGCTGTGTGGCATCAGGCGGCGGCCTCGGAAGTTTCGCCCCACACGGGCCAAGTTTCTCTGGGGTGATTTGGGACGGCACCAACTAGTGTGAAAATTTTGACTTGGTGTTGCTCATGGATCGTGTTCTTAAGTTCGGGTTTCAGGACATCATTGTTAACACGACTTCTAACTTCTGGCGAGGACCCCGCATCATTAAGCTTGGAACTATGTA